ATACAATGTATTGTTGGCTATTGCTACAAATATACCCCAGCGACTTCAGACTGCTTTTGTGCTCCAGGGTCACAAATGTAAATTTTTGCACCACTAACAGTGAAGATTCACTATAAATCAAATAGGTTTAAAAATAAAGGTTTAATAAGGTTTTAAAAAATCTTCATTGTTAAGCACATGATGGATGTTTTGTCAAATTTGTTTGCCAAATTTGATTAGGTATTAAAAACCTGTAAGATTTTTATTATTTTTTTAGTGAAAATTTTCATAATGTTCACAGTACAAAATTAAATCAGAATGTCTTTTCAGACAAGTCACAGTCTTTGAAAGCTGTGGGTGTGAAAGATGAAGTAAAATAACAGAATAATATTAAATAAGTAATATTATCAAATTAAATGAAGATGTGGTGCATAAAAAATAAAAGAATGAAATGATTTGTATGTCTCTTTCAGGTACTCCTATACTGGGTGGAAAGAAGTTGGAGTTGACGCGAGAGAACTTGACTGCTTTCTTCTCAAATCATGGTACTCCGAAGCAGAAGTCTCAGCCTCCCTCTGTGTTCAGTCGTGGCAGTAACCAGACCAGCGGCGGCAGAGGGCCAGGTAAAGAAAACACATAAACACGCATATAAAGAACTTAAAACACGGGATTCCTCAAATGATATGGTTGCTATTATTGCAGCTCACAATGACTTGCTGGTTCTAACTGGAGCTATTACTCATTTTCTTGCACTACATGCATTCATTTCTACAAATTGCTAGATATAAAGATATCAAAGCACTTTTATAAACTTTAATTTTTTTTTTTTTAAAGATATAAAAGCACTTAAAACACTAAAACATGAACACCCCAAATTGTATGGTTGGTATTACTGCACCTCACAATGACTTGCTGGTTATGACTAGGACTATTCATCACATTAATTCATTTGTACAAATTGCAAGAATGTCACGATTTATATTTTAATTAGATTAATTGTGCAGCCCTAGTAACAACATAATGACAGATATGTTTTCTTTTTTGAAAGTCAGGAATGAATTTCGCTACTCAAGACTGTTAAAACAAAAGACCCAAAAAGTGTTTGGGATAAGAATTTTTATTAACAGTTTGAATTAGGAAATATCTAAAAAAATAACAGCTGTTTTAATCGTAGTTTTAGTTAAAGTTTAAGTAATTATGTTGTTTTTATTAATTAACATATATATATATATAACAAAGCCATTTACTTCATTCCTGAATGAATCAGCCGTTTGAACGAATCGAAAGAAGACATTTACAGCCACCTGCTGGAAGATTTAGTTTGTTATTTAGAGTATAATTTCATAAAAAATAAAAATAAAAATGAAAACATTAAAGGGATAGTTCACCCAAAAAAATACATTTCTGTCATCATTTACTTACCCTCATGTCGTTTCAAACATTTATTTTGAGGAACATAAAAGGTATTCTGAAGACTGTTGGTAAGAAAGCTGTTTTAGTTACTAATTACTTTCATTGTACGAACAAAAAATACTGAGATGTTTCTCAAATTATCTTCTTTTATTATGTGTTTTTGTGTCATATTTATATATATATCACATATCACACAAGCAGCGAGAGCAATATCACAGGAGTGCTGATTTTGTCCCGATCTATGACGAGTTTAAATGTGATTTTATACAACAGTTCAGTAAATAAGAAGCTGGTATTTAGTTATATTTTAAACACAATATTATGTGTTTTTGCTAAATTTTGCAGAGGACATGTTATCTTTTAAGCCATAGCAGAATTGTTGCGTGTCTCCGAGCAACACAGCAATGTTTAGTTTCTGAATGAATCCACATTTTGGACTAATCGTGTGAATCAATGATTCAAAGACCCATTCATAAACAAAGCCATTTACTTCATTCCTGAATGAATCAGCCGTTTGAACGAATCGAAAGAAGACATTTACAGCCACCTGCTGGAAGATTTAGTTTGTTATTTAGAGTATAATTTCATAAAAAATAAAAATAAAAATGAAAACATTAAAGGGATAGTTCACCCAAAAAAATACATTTCTGTCATCATTTACTTACCCTCATGTCGTTTCAAACATTTATTTTGAGGAACATAAAAGGTATTCTGAAGACTGTTGGTAAGAAAGCTGTTTTAGTTACTAATTACTTTCATTGTACGAACAAAAAATACTGAGATGTTTCTCAAATTATCTTCTTTTATGTTCCATAGTTTATGTTAGGCCGTTGTAGCCTAAATGTTTGTGTAATAAATTTTATGTTGAATCAAGTAAAATATTTTTTTCTAAAGGTACAGTTTGTAATGTCTACTTGATACTTTCTCATTTAACACAAAATTAGCTTTAAATAATCTGTTGTGGGTATTTTCACAGTCAAATTTATTTTGCGATTAATTAGATTAATCGAAACATGTAATTAATTAGATTAAAAATTGTAATCGACTGACAGCCCTAATATATATATTTATAAGGTTTTATTTCAGTTAAGGTTGTTTTATTTCAAGTAACAAACATTTTTTAGCTTTAGGTATTTTTACTATTTTATTTCAGTTAAGGTTGATTTTATTTCAAGTAACAAACTTTTTTTATTTTAGTTTTAGTTAACTATAATAACCCTGGACCCAAAATACCCAAGAATTTCCATTACCTTGATTTACCTGTTTCAGCCGTCCCAATCCTCATGCTTTTTTCATGAACGGTGCAGTGGTCGAAATGCTCTCTCTAGGAGGGGAACACTGTTCCCCCACAAAGTATTTTAATACCCAGAGGATCAGAGAGAGCAGCACAGGATGTTTGGAGAGACACAGACAAGAAAGACCTGCAGGGAGACTTATGGCCTCGTACTCCAGTAGCCCACATTCCTCTGTTATTACAAACCATAATGGCTTGATGCGTCTCTCATTTTATGGTAGAAGTTTCCTCTCCACTAAAAGCTCTTAGATCAACTTTGTAATGGCTTTCTGTCCTTAGGCAGTGAAAATATTTCCTTTGGCTCGGGGATATAACTTATAAAGCTGTGCAAAATGAGTCTCTTTATTGTAGTCCTCAGCGATTCAAGTGCACCGCTGCAATTCGAACTAAGTTTTAATAGAATGTGACAATAATTTACTGCCACTTTGTGCCAAGTCATTGCAGTTTATTTCATCTATGCGTTTACTTTGTTTTGACGGCATTTTAGGCAGTCTGAAAAGTGGCCTCAGAAATTATATGATACTTAAGCCACACTTAATGTATGAATGTCACTGCATTTGATGATAATGTCATCAGCTTCACTTTTTGGAAACTTTTTTTGTTATTTTGTTTTTTGTTTTTTTGTTTGCTTTACTTTTATTTTTGGATTTGTTTGTTTTGTTTTGTTTTTGTTTTTTGGGGGGGGCAGGGTTGTGTTTTTTTTTTTTAATTTTGTTATTTTGTTTTGTTTTGGTTTTTGTTGTTTTTTTCTTTTGTTGTTTTATTTTTTGTGTTGTTTTTTGTTTTGTTTTTGCTTTGCTTTTGGTTTTTGGTGTTGTTATTTATTTTATTTTTGTTCTTTTTTGTTTTTTGCTTTTGTTGTGTTATTTTCATTTGTTGGAGGTTTTTTTTTTTCTTTTTGGTTTTGTTTGTTTTTTTGTGTTGGTTTATTCTTTTTTTTTGTTGTTGTTGTTGTTTTTATTTTGTTGTCTTGGTTTTATGGTTTTTGTTTTGCTATTTTGTTTTGTTGCTTTTTTATGTTCAGTTTTGGGGATTTCTTTTGGGGTTTTTTTCCTCTCTATTTGCTATTTTTTTTCTTTGCTTTTTTTTTTCTCTCGTTTGTTTTAATGTGGCTTAGATGTCCATGTATCTCTTCAGGCCACTGTAAGAGTAAACTTTACAAAGTTCAGAAGGAGATCTGTATCTTTTAAGTATGCTTGGGAATGTGATCTGTGATTGCTGATAGCATGATGTTTTCTCAGCTGTGTGACCGTTATGTGACTGCAGTGTGTTTGAGGGCAAGAAATGTCCATTCTCTTTCTGTTATCTGTCTCTCTCTCACTCTTTTGCTCTCTTGTAACACTTCACTGCTTTTCTCCTCCAGCACAGCAAAAAATACTGGAACACACACACACACACACAGATACACATTGATTGCCGTTAAGGCTCTTAGGCTCTACTGTCCTTCCCAGAAGCCTCAAGGGTGTATTTAAAGAGTGCAGAGGCCACACTTTCTCCCACCATCCCAATGATCCTTAACTTCAAGTGTACTCTAATGCTTTATTTGAAGGGTGCTGCATATGGATTTTACAGCAGACCCATAAAACATACTTGACAGTTTTTTTTAATGGCTGCATTAACATTTCAGAATTCCTGTATCAAAAAAACACACACACGCTAGATTCAGACCCTGATATATGATCATTTATAGTAAAGCTAATGAATTCAAGCTATATAGTTTTTAAGACCTCGGTAGGACCTGATTTTGCTGAAACAGGGCCTTTTGCTTAATTTGTGGAATCTCTGGTGAAAGTGCCGCATTTATCCATATCTGTGTTATTTGTCTTACAGTCAAGATGAACGTTGATCCGATTCAGAGTCGATTCAGAGAGATTTTGCGGGAGCTGCCAAAAGAAGGCCGTCCCATCAACCTTATTAAGAATGACTCGGATCGGTCACAGACAAGAACAGAAAAACTGAGGCACCGGGGTAAGAATGTTACATCTTGACTGTTTTGGGTAAAAATATTTCAATAAAATGCCATTAGTGGCTTTTATAAAGGCAAGCCTCTCTTTTGAAAGTTTTTTGAAAGTCTCTTATGCTCACCAGGGATGCATTTATTTGATCAAAAATATGGTATATTGTGACATATTACAATAGCTGTTTTCTATTTGAATATAGTTTAAAATGTAATTTAATCATGTGAGGCAAAGCTGAATTTTCAGCATCATTACTCCAGTCTTCAGTGTCACATGACCCTTCAGAAATCAGTATAATATGCTGATTTGTTGCTCAACAAACACTTGTTATTGTTATCAATGTTGAAATCAGTTGTGCTGCTTGATATCTTTGTGGAAACCGTGATAACTGTCACTAAAAAGTTTGGCATAAGAAAGATTTAAAATAAAAAAATGAATACTTTCATTAAGCAAAGATGCATTCAATTGATGAAAGTGGCGTAAAGACAAAATTGTTCTTTCGAACTTTTTAGTAATAAAAGATTCCTGAAAAAAAATGAATCACAGTGTATCCACACAAATGTTAAGAAGCACAACTGTTTTCAACATTTATAATAAGAACCATTATTAATAATTGAGCACCAATAGTAATTGATAATAATCAAACAGCAAATAATCATATTAGAATGATTTCTGAAGGATCATATGACGCTGAAGACTGGAGAAATGATGCTGAAAATTCAGATTTGATCACAGGAATAAATTACATTTTAACATATATTAGTTAATCAATTAGAAAACAGTCACTTTACATTGTTGTAATATTTTACAAATTAACTGTTTTAATGTATTTTTGATCAAATAAATGCAGCCTCGGTGAGCAAAGATATTTCTTTCAAAACTTTAAGTAATCTTAATGATTCCAAATTTCTGACTGGTAGTGCATTCAGGGTTAAAGATTTGAACAAGCACATTTTGCAACCATTGTATTCTACCACTTTTGCTCTCTTGTATTCAGTCAGACCACTTTAAATGTCTCCTCAGTTCTCTTTGGAGAAGCACAGATGTGTGGTAGTTACACTCGAAGCTTTTAGCGGAGCTTTGGAGCGGAATAAACTCGCTCACAGCGCTCTGCTGGTCCTTATGTAACCCGGGGTCAGCGAGAAGTGTTAAAAACACAGATTACCTCTGACGTGTGCTCCAGAGGACTGTAATCTCTGTAACGGTTCCTCGGTCTAACTTGAGCTGAGCGACCATCTCTTTTCCAGCACAAATTAATAGTGGGTCATTATAAAGTTATGTTTAGATTTTTCTACAAATAAATATGAATACGGAGGGTTCAGTGGATGGAAATTGTTTTATGGTGAAAATATCAATGCATTTGTATTATTGATTAATTTATATTTATTTATTATTGAAATGTATCCTTACAATCAGAGTCAGCATAATTAACCAGATGGCTGACAGCTACTGTATGTGCACCTGTCAAAAATGTTTGGGTGTTTTATAAAATGCTGGATGCAAAATCATGTCACATAGAGTCATGCAGTGCAAATCCACCTCCACTTCCAAGTTTCCAGGTGGTTTTACTATAATTGAGAATTGAGATAAATTCCAAACGAAAAATTAGAATATTAACACATTGCATCAAATATGCTGAATAGATTATATCAGTGTAAAGGAATAAGAGTAATAGTTTACTGAGAGAGTAATTTACTCACCCTCATGTCGTTCCAGACTCGTATGGGTTTTTTTTATGTGAAACACAAAAGGAGAGATTTTGCAGAATGTGTTGGCAGTTCTTTTCCATATAATGAAAGTGAATGAGCTTCATAAAATCAGAGTCTCCCTTTACTTTCATTAAATGGAAAAGAGTGGCTTGTGTCATGCAGAATAAAGCAAGCCGTACGGATTTTAAATATTGGTGTGAGTTTTCATTTTAGGTTGACTATTGCTTTAAAAGTAATCCCTTGTGAAAGAGAACTACTGTACACTTTAGCAAACTTTTAAAATCGGTACTACTTACGGAAAAAATAAACTTACATTTTCAGACACTTAATTGCATGTTATTTTAAATTTATATTAAATCCAATTAGCTTTAGAGAGATTCTTTATTTGCAATTTCATTATTACTTCAAGTCTTTTTTGAAATACGGTTAAAGTGTACTGCCGAACGTAACTAAAATTTACTTCAATGTCATTTCTATTGAAACTTGTATGTCTTGTATTTAAATATATTTGCAATAACACATTTGTAATGATGCTGCAATTTAGTTCATTTAAAATGGGTAACACTTTATTTTAAGGTGTCCTTGTTACACGTTACATGTACTTACTATTATAATAACTAGGGATGCACCGATACCGATACCGATACTGGTATCGGTATCGGGCCCGATACTGAGCTCTTGTACTCGTACTCGTTAAAATACCCGATACCAAACGCCGATACCACACAGCATGTGATAAGTGCCATATTCAGACAAAGAAACACCAACAACAGACAGCAGAATGGAGTTAAGGATGTCTACTACGAAGTATATGTATGCAATTAATATAACGTTAAACATTCAGTATTAACACCTGTATAGCTGATGTGCGCGAGCTGATAAACAAAGCGCGCTGAGTGGATTGAGCGCGCGGCGGCGCAGATGCGCGAGCTTGTCGAGTGAATATATCTTTCTCACAGACATCACAGGAAAGTTTGTAGTTCGGTCGGATATGTCAAAAACAAGTAAGTAAAACAATGCACAAGTTACTTAACGGTGTAGAGAGAGAGAGAGCGCGCAATTCTGTTGTGTGATCTTTGATGTTCGCTCACTTAGCACGCGCATCATTTGGATTAAAACTAAATTGTAAAAATAAGACCATTCATAGGGGCATTTACTATAAACAATTTATTTTCAACCTTAGGCATACACGACTTTCTGGCGAAAGTAAATCTAGCAGCCTGTGTGAAATGCGCTAAGCTGTACTATTCTGCATCAGTACAAATACGTGTACAAATTAAGTGTGAAAATAACCGAAGGATATACAGTCAAACCAAAAATTATTCAGAGACCAGATATAATTTTTTTACTAGTTGGTGCAGGACACTATAGTTCATTAATTATGCATAATTAATTACATTCAAGTAACCCTAAGCCAAACCCTAACCATATAGTAAGTACATGTGATTAATATTACTCAGTACTTAAATGTATAATTACACTGTAACAAGGACACCTTAAAATGAAGTGTAGCCTTAAAACGTATTAACTTTAAATCTAATATTGAATAACACACTACCGTTGAGATTATAATCAAGTACTTTACATGTGCTTTAGTATGTTAGTCAACACATCAAAATCAGTGTACTTCATTAAAACATGACAAAGATTATTAAAACATGATGATTTAAAATGTACTTTAAAGTGAAACTTAATTTGACATTATTACAAAGTGCACTTTTTGAAAATTGTGCTAAAGTGTGTTAAGAGCCATAGTCAATAAAGTGTCTCTTTAAGTGACCTTTTATTTGATATTATGTTATCTGCAAGTACAGTTTTTTTTTTAATAATACTTTTAAGATTTGAAGTACATTTAAGCGCTTTTCTTTTATAGCATGGCTCACTGGACAGTGAGAACCAGCTCATGTAGATATAAGTTTATAGGTATCACAATTTCCTCATGTGCAGTGAAACTTGCTCACCATATTGTGCAGGTGTCATGTGACCAACATTACCATCTCATTTTATTGCTCATAAGCTGTAAAATTGTGGTTTGCAAGCCAAGATGCTTAACTTTGCTTTACCCTTTTTAAGTAGGTATATGGCTTACTAATGGCTTTTTAGCCTTCAGCGTTTAGATCTCAAACCAAACTGCCTTCGTCTTGTAGAAAGTTAACTGTGTAGGCTGTTTGAGAATTCATTATGCCAGATAATTAGCATTTTCAGTGTGTGTGACGGCCACAAGTCAAAGTTGCATTAATATCTAATGCGATAATGCTGTTTTTTCAAGCTCATACTGCATGATGATATAGTGAACTTGGCAATGTGGAATGGAGCCGTATGGATTTGCACTGCCGCAGAATCTCTATGCCAGCCCATTTAACAGTGCCAAAATCAGCACTGTTCTGCCCAAAGAGAGTCACTCTTCCACCTTCACGAGAAAAAAGGTCATCCAGGCTGTTAGTGCAACCCCGTATATGTCGGAGATGGATGATTCTGGCCTGCAGACTGGAAGCAGGTTCAGCATCGATGGATTGTGTTTGTGTAATGTAATGAACAATTTAATAATGCAGCAAAATGTGAGACTCAACCAGAGCCAGGGCTGCGTTCACACAGCGGCACAATACACTGATCAGTCTTGTTCGGAAAGCTAAATACAGTTCTATTCATATGAACATATGAAAGACTGACAAATCTGAAATGCTTACAATCTTACAACTGAAGTGTTTTTTTTTTCAGTGTTAAATATGTTTACATCGTGAATTCATTCATGAATATCATTACATTTTGAGGAGTTATACCACACTTTAACAACCTAAATAAACCTTGCCTTGTCAGAAAAAGGTAAAATCATCTGATATTTTAATAGACTTTTGAACTTTACGTTCTTGAAGTATTCAATAAAATTATGCAAAGCTAAGAATATATTTTCATATATAAATAAGTTAAATAAATAAAGCATAAATAGTATATAATTTTTTTTATAAAATTTTATTTAAATTCTATATTTGCATTATTGTATACATATATAATATTATTTATATATTGTTATATTTTTTACTTGAAAAATAATAATATAAAATTGCATATAAAATGCGAAACTAAGTATTTTATTGTTTTAATGATGATTTTTATTTCTTCATTATGATATCAGGACACAGTAACATTTTTTTATTTATGTACCCCCAAAAATATCAAAATTAATTTTAATTCAGAAATTGAAAATCATCCTCCTCATAGCAGTGGCGTAACTGTTTGTGAATAGAATAAGATCCCTAAAGTTGCCAAGACTAAAGTCTCAAACCCAAAGAGATATTTTTTATAAAAGTTAAGACGTCTACATCACTGTGTGGGAAGATTTGCATAATGCTGCCCAAATGTTCACGCAAAGAAAGAAGGCATA